CGTAAGAGAGAATGTGACGTTGTGTGTGTCTCTGCAGGTTAATGATGAGATGTGAATGTTTGATGTTGGGTTGGTGAGAGGTTGGTGAATAATTTCATATTTGTATGTTAAAAGTATTGTCATGCTAATTCATTGTTTGCTCCAGATAAAAATCTGTCACTCCAAATTAAAGCCTCAGAGTATAAAGAATCAGAATGAAGAGAGAAACACAAACAGGAATAAAGACAGGAGGATCAGACACTTGCTGCTGTTGTAGATGTGGAAGTCTAGTAAATTCAAAACATGCCAGTAGCATATGTATGCATTTAATGCAAGCAGTAAACACAAATGTGTACTTTGTATTATTTAAATGTTAATGTTTATAGCATAAAAAATTTAATTGCAGTGCTGTTTAGATGTGTATGTGTTCTAGTGGATCTCTGTTTACTCTTATGCCTGAGGTGAGTCCCATGTCCTCTATCCTGAATATCTGTTCATCTCAGCAGCCCTTGGTTTCTACTGGATAATGCCATAACACCTATATAAATCTGCCAACTACATACAAACAATGTTTGCAATAATTTCTTCACAATAGCCACTTAATACCTGATTCATATTTATTATTTATTTGAAACAGATTCTTTGTAACATTATAAATACCCATTTAATTTGTCCTTGCTGAATGAAGTTATTCATTTCTTTCCAATAATATATATATATATATATATATATATATATATATATATATCTTACTGACCACAAACTTTTGAATGGTACTCTATATCGACTTTATCTCACAATAACCTTTATTTTTTATGCTAAAGTGGAAACCAGCTTCCATTCCATCCACTGTAATTTTGAATACACTGAAAGTTATTTCAGACTTGTTATGATAAAACATACTCATAACCTTTCTTGCTCTCTCCAGGCCCTGAGCTGTGATCAGCCCGCGTGAAGACCCCAAAAGATGGGCAGCTATCCAGTTTCTGTGCTCTTATGCTGTTTTTTCTTTGGTAATTCCATCAAAACAGAAGCCAATTAATTTAATTAATATGAATGAATGATTCTTTTTGAATGCCCAGCCAACAAAACTTTTCTGATATTTTTTCTCACAGTACTTGTTACTGTCCGAGCACAACAAACTGGTAATTCACTGTTTTGTTCACTAATTCAACTGTTTTGTTAAACGATTGTGTGAAAACTTGTGTTTGTATAGGGAGACCAGGCCTAGTTGTCACATGGGGAAGTTGTCACAATAATTATATCTCAGTAACCATAAAGGAGTCATATGGATATTTGAATGCCAGGGACGAGTTTTGATGTGTGTTTTATCTGTTGTCATTTTTTAAATAATATAATTTATTAATCATTTTATAATTGGGTTATAAAATAGTCTATAATACTCTGTACATACACCAGAGAATAGTGTAGAATAGTGATTCTCAATCTCAACCCAACCAGTCCTGGAAAACCTAGATATATTAGTGTGATTTCTAGACACGGAAAAATCATAGAAATGAATAAAAAATGTGGGAAAAATTTATAATGAATATAAATTTCTAGTTATGTCATAAATATTTAATTGGGTAGAAATTGCTATTTGTAAGTCTAAAATAATTTTAAAAGTCCTGTAAATTAGAAGATGAACAACTGACTAGAAAAATCATGTCAATTCATCAGTAATAAAAAGTGTAAATGAGAACATTCAGTTATTGAAAATTCTGGAATTGTGGAATTAATTTAATGTAATTATTTTATTTAATCATTCTAGTCAAATATTATTATAATAAATATAATTTATAATATTTATGATAAAAATGAAAAATGAACAGCAGAAGTATCAGAAATATCTTTGGGGGCAACAGAGTCAGAAAGGATGAGAACCGTTATAGAAAACATCTCTCGTCTATAGAAAATGTATTTCATTACTCATTTTAATTACAAATGAAGAGTTCCAATGCAAAAGCCTCTAAAAGCCATCTTGGTCAAAAATTAGATAACGATACTGAGTGAATGCTCTCCACACA